CGGCTTAATCTACATAATTTTAAAAACAACTAAAAAAGAGAAGCTAACAGGCAAACAGGGGCCCAAGACAGCAGCACTCACCAAAGCGATCCTCCGGTCTCTGTTCAGCACCAGACCTGGAGGTGGAATTACAAAGACAGTGGCCTCAGTGCCATCTTTCAGGGTGAGGGGATGCACCTCGACCTCCCTGGGAACCCCATTTCTCCCACATGAACTGGTGAGAACCACCCCTGGCATCCTCAGTCGGCCCTGGATTCCTTGTGCTAGGGTCCAGCTGGAACAAGGTTTGACCACGGCCACCTGGCTTCGGACCAGCCAGGCCACACAGGCCTTCCCGGCCACCCAAAGGGGCAGAGGGGCAGAATGAGGCTGGGAACAGTTAGGCTAACTGGCATCGAAGAGCTCTTTGAGAAACTTGAAATGTCCATCTGGATCTTTAACCACGAGGAAGTAGCACATCACTAAGAATCACATCATCACCTGTTGAAGAGAAACTGAGTGAAAAAGGAAACCTTGGCAGAGTCGTGAGGCCTGGGTGGTTACCAGCCGCAGCCTCAGGCAGTGACTCCATTCCCTGCCCCACCCCAATTCTGCTCCTGGGCAATGTCCCTCAAGAACCACCAGCATGGGGTGTCTGGGAGGGGCACAAAGAGTCCCCCCTACGAGTCCTTCTCAGACACCACCTTCACAGCCAGGCCTCTCCATCCCCCTTCTGACTTATTTTCCTTCAGAACACTTTCTGAGGCATTCGGGCATTTAATTATCGACTGCTTCTATCCTCTGCCAGAATGTAGCCTCCATGAGGACAAGAAGTTTGGTCTCTCTTGTTCACAGCTGTGTCCTCGGTACTAAAAACGGTGCCTGCCACACAGCAGGTGCTCAAAAAGTGCTTGCTGACTGAGTAAACAGATGTCCACCCCTCGGCGGGTCCAGGAGGAGTTGGAGAAGGTTTCAAGGAGAGGGTGCTGTGCCACTGTTTGAGCCACGTGATGGGTACATGAGAGTTACTGTGATTAACATTATTACTGGCCAGCCTCGGTGGCTCAGCCTATAATCCCAGCACTTTGGGAGGCCAAAGTGAGTGGACTGCCTGAGCCCACTGGTTTAGACCAGCCTGGGCAACTTGGCAAGACCTTGTTTCTACAATAAATCACAATTTAGCCGGGCGTGGCATAGTGCGTGCCTGTAATTCTGGCTACTTGGAAGGCTGAGGCGGAAGGATCGCCAGAGCCCAGCAGGTTGGGGCCGCAGTGGCCTTGAGCGTGCCACTGCATCACAGCCTGGGCGACAGAGTAAGACTCTGACTAAAAACAAACAAGCCGAGCTCGGTGGCTTAGCTTGTAATCCTGCCCTTTAGGAGGCTGAGGTGAGTGGATTGCCTGAGCCCGTGGTTCGAGACCCACCTGGGCAGCGAGACCTCATCTCTGCAATAAATCAAAAAACTAGCCGGGCGTGGTAACGCTTGCCTGTAGTTCCAGCTACTTGGAAGGGTGAGGCGGAGGGATCACTAGAGCCCAGCAGGTCGAGGCTGTGGTGGCCGGGAGCGGCCACTGCACTCCAGTCTGGGCGACAGAGTGAGACTCCAACTCAAAAAAACAAAACAAAACAAAAACATTATTATTATTTTACTTAAATACACATATATGATATACCAACAAGTTTGGGTTTTTGGGGGAACTAAATGAACTCATTCTAAAGTTCACATGGAAAAATAAACCAAGAAAAACTCTGTAAAAGAGCTATGAAAGGAGACTGGGCTTGGTGGCTCAGACTGTAATCTCAGCACTTTGGGAGGCCGAGGCAAGTGGATTGCCTGAGCTCGCGGGTTAGGGACCAGCCTGGGCAGCTTGGTGTACCTCATTTCTACAATAAATAAAAAATTAGCCAGGCCCGGTAGCACACACCTGTAGTTCCAGCTACTTGGAAGGCTGAGGCAGAAGGATAGCTGGAGCCCAGCAGGTCGACACTGGAGTGGCCGTGAGTGTGCCACTGCACTCCAGCCTGGGCAATAGAGTGAGACTCCAACTCAAAAAAAAAAAGGAAACTGTCCAGCCGGGTGTGGTGCCTCATGACTATAATCCCAGCACTTTGGGAGGTGGAAGCGAGAGAATGGCCTGAGTCCAGGGGTTTGAGACCAGCCGGGGAACTTGGCAAAACCTCATCTCTACAATAAATCAAAACAATTAGTTGGACATGGTGGTGCTCGCCTGTGGTTCCAGTCACTTGGAAGGCTGAAGCGGAAGGATGGTCTGAACCCAGCAGGTTGAGGATGCGGTGACTGTGGGCGTGCCACTGACTCCAGGCTGGGTGACAGAGTGAGACTCCAACTCAAAAATTTTAAAAAAAGGGACTGTCCTATTAGATAGGAAAACCCTAGGCTGGGCCTCAATAATTTAAGCTGTGTAGTGCAGACAGATGATAGTAAGCAGACCCACAGACAAACACACAGTCCAGAGACAGATCCAAATAGAGATCGATGGTCTCTTATGCCAGAGGGGAAAATCAGGCTTTAGGCCACTGAGGAATCATCTAGAAAAAGATGAATAAGGCCTGGCTCGGTAGCTCAGCCTGTAATCCCACCACTTTGGGAGGTCGAGGTGAGTGGATTGCCTGAGCCCAGGGGTTCGAGACCCACCCGAGCAACTTGGCGAGACCTCGTCTCTACAATAAATAAAAAAATTAACCGGACATGGTAGCATGCACCTGTAGTTCCGGCCACTTGGGAGGCTGAGGGGTGCAAGGATCGCCGGAGCCCAGCAGGTCGAGGCTGCGGTAGCCGGGAGCGGCCACTGCACTCCAGTCTGGGCATCAGAGTGAGACTCCAACACATACACACAAAAAGATGAAATCAGATCCAAACCTCGTTCCATACACTAGATAAGTACCCAATGTAGCAAATACTTAAAACGCAAATATGAAACCCCAAACAGTATTAGAATCAGCGTGAATTTTTAACTATGATTCAAAATCCAGAAGACAAAAAAGTTGCATTTAAAAAAATTCTGCATTGCAAGAAAAAAAAATAAAACCAACAACACCCTAAGTAAAGTCAAAAGATAAATGAGCCAGGCTCGGTGGCTCAGCCTGTAATCCCGCGCCTTGGGAGGCTGAGGTGAGTGGACTGCCTGAGCCTGCGGGTTTGAGACCCACCTGGGCAACTTGGCAAGACCTCATCTCTACAATAAATCAAAAATTAGCCGGGCATGATAGCGCGTGCCTGTAATTCCAGCTACCTGGAAGGCTGAGGCGGAAGGATCACTGGAGCCCAGCAGGTTGAGGCTGCGGTGGCCGGGAACATGTCACTGCACTCCAGTCTGGGTGAAAGAGTGAGACTCCAACTCAAAAAAAAAAAAAAGATAAATGACAGGCTGGGTGTGGTGGCTAATGTCTGTATTCCCAGCACTTTGGGAGACTAAGGCAGGACTGCTTGAGCCCAGTTTGAGGCTGCAGTGAGCTAGGATCACACCACTGCACTCTAGCCTGAGTGATACAGCAAGATCCTTTCTCTTTTTTTCTGAGTAGTAGTCTCACTCTGTTGCCCAGGCTGGAATGCAGTGGCACACTCACGGTCACTACAATCTCTGTCCGCTGGGCTCAGGCAATCCTTCTACATCAGTCTTCTAAGCACTTGGAACCACAGGCGTGAGCCACCACACCTGGCTAATTTTTTGATTTATTGCAGAGGTCTCACCATATTGCCCAGGCTGGTCTTGAACTCCTGGATTCAGGCAATCCTCTTGCCTCTGCCTCCCAAAGTGTTGGGATTATAGGCATGAGCCACCGCATTTGGCAGATCCTCTCTCTTTAAAAAAAAAATTGATTAGCTAGGTGTAGTGGCACATGCCTATAGTCCCAGTTACTAGAGGCTGAAGCAGAAGGATTACCTGAGCCCAAGAGGTCAAGACTGCAGTGAGCCATGATCGTGCCACTGCACTCCAGCCTAAAAAAACAAAACAAGCTGGTGCAGTGGTTCATGCCTGTAATCCCAGCACTTTGGGAGGCTGAGGCGAGAGGACTGCCTGAGCTCAGGGGGTCAAGACCACCCTGAACAACATGGTGAGATACTGTCTGTACAATAAATCACAAAAAGTTAGCTGGGTGTGCTGGTGCGTGTCTGTAGTTCCAGCTACTGGGAAGATTGAGGCAGTAGGATTGCTTGAGCTCAGTAGGTAGAGGCTGCAGTGGCTGTGAGCGTGCTACTGTACTCCAGCCTGGGGGACAGAGTAAAACTCTGACTCAAAAAAAAAAAAAGAAAAAAAACCCAAAAACCAAAACAAAACAAAACAAAAAAGATAAACGACAACTTGGGGAAAAGTATTTGCCATTCAATCTCCCCAACATCCTAAAAATTGAAAAAAGGCCAATAATCAGATAGTAAGATGGGCAAGAGGACAGGTATATGTAGTCCTCAATAAAAAAACAAGCTCGGTGGCTCAGTCTGTAATCCCACGCCTTTGGGAGGCTAAGGTGAGTGGATTGCCTGAGCCCGCGGGTTCGAGATCCGCCTGGGCAGAGAGACCTCATCTCTACAATAAATCAAAAAATCAGCTGGGCGTGGTAGCACATGCCTGTAATTCCGGCTACTTGTAAGGCTGAGGCGGAAGGATCGCTGGAGTCCAGCAGGTCGAGGCTGCAGTGGGCGGGAGGGGCCACTGCACTCCAGTCTGGGCGACAGAGTGAGACTCCAACTCAAAAAAAAAAAACAAACAAACATGAGAGGCTGACCCTTACCATAAGAAAGAGCAAGCCAGGCTCGGTGGCTCAGCCTGTAATCCTGCGCCTTTGGGAGGCTGAGGTGAGTGGATTGCCTGAGCCCGCGGGTTCGAGACCTGC